GTCCCAAAAGAGCCCCAAGAAGGTCCTGAAAGGTCCAGAAAAAGCCCAGAAAGGTCCTGAAAGGTCCATAAAGAGCCCTGGAAGGTCCATTTCAAAGGTCCTGAAAGGTCCATAAAGAGCCTCAAAAAGGTCCTGAAAGGTCCAAGAAAGGTCCTGAAAGATCCATAAAAAGGTCCTGAAAGGTCCATAAAGAGCCTTGGAAGGTCCTGAAAGGTCCTGAAAGGTCCATAAAGAGCCCAGAAAGCTCCAAGAAGGTCCTGAAAGGTCCATAAAAAGGTCCTGAAAGATCCATAAAAAGCCCCAAAAGGTCCATGAAAAGGTCCTGAAAGGTCCAAGAAGGTCCTGAAAGGTCCATAAAAAGCTCAGAAAGACCCCCCAAAAAATTCCTTTTAAAAAGGCCCTGAAAGGTCCATAAAAAGCCCAGAGAGGTCCTGAAAGGTCCATAAAGAGCCTTGGAAGGTCCTAAAAGATCCATCAAAAGGTCCTGAAAGGTCCATAAAAAGCCCCAAAAGGTCCATGAAAAGCTTTGAAAGGTCCTGAAAGATCCATAAAGAGTCCAGAAAGGTCCTGAAAAATCCACCTAAAAAGGTCCTGAAAGGTCCTGAAAGATCCATAAAGAGCCTTGAAAGGTCCTGAAAGGTCCATAAAAAAACCGGAAAGGTCCTGAAAAATCCACCTAAAAAGGTCCCGAAAGGTCCATAAAAAGCCCAGAAAGGTCCATTAAAAAGGTCCTGAAAGATCTATAAAAAGATCCTGAAATCTCCATGAAGGTCCTGAAAGATCCATTAAAAAGCCCAGAAAGGTCCTGAAAGATCCATAAAAAGCCCCAAAAGGTCCATGAAAAGGTCCTGAAAGGTCCATAAAGAGTCCAGAAAGTTCCATAGAAAGGTCCTGAAATCTCCAAGAAGGTCCTGAAAGATCCATAAAAGGCCCCCAAAAGGTCCTGAAAGGTCCATAAAAAGCCCCAAAAGGTCCATGAAAAGCTTTGAAAGGTCCTGAAAGATCCATAAAGAGCCTTGGAAGGTCCTGAAAGATCCATTAAAAAAACCCAGAAAGGTCCATAAAGAGCCCAGAAAGGTCCTGAAAGATCCATAAAAAGCCCAGAAAGGTCCTGAAAGATCCATAAAAAGCCCCAAAAGGTCCATGAAAAGGTCCTGAAAGGTCCATAGAAAGGTCCTGAAAGGTCCATAAAAAGCTCAAAGAGAAGTCCTAAAAGATCCATCAAAAGGTCCTGAAAGGTCCATAAAAAGATCCTGAAAGTTCCATGAAGGTCCTGAAAGATCCATTAAAAAGCCCAGAAAGGTCCTGAAAGATCCATAAAAAGCCCCAAAAGGTCCATGAAAAGGTCCTGAAAGGTCCATAGAAAGGTCCTGAAAGGTCCATAAAGAGCCCAGAAAGGTCCTGAAAGGTCCATCAAAAAGTCCTGTAAGATCCATAGAAAGGTCCTGAAAGGTCCATAAAGAGTCCTGAAAGCTCCAAGAAGGTCCTGAAAGATCCATAGAAGGCCCCCCGAAAGGTCCCGAAAGGTCCATAAAAAGCCCCCAAACCCCCCAAAACTCGGGATAAAAAAATCCCCCAAAAACCCCCCCTGAGTCGTGGGAGGTTTTGGGGCGTTTTTGGGGTGTTTTTGGGGTGTTTTTGGACCCACTTGTCCCCCCGGAAGAGGTAGGTGTGGCCGCTGGGCAGCCAGAGCAGCGCCGCGTCCAGCCCGTCCGGGGGGACCCCCCGGCCCAGCTCGGACAGAGCTCGGGGGTACCCGGGGGCCAGGACCCCCTCCTCGAACACCCAGTGCCGGGAGCCTGCGGAGAGGGGGGGAAACAACCCCAAAAATCGGGTTAAAATGGGGACAAATCCCGGGGAAATCCCGTTAAAAATGGCCCCAAAATCCCATGAAAATCCCCTTAAAAATCCCCTTAAAATCCCATTAAAAATGGCCCCAAATGCCATGAAAATCCCATGAAAATTCCATTTAAATTACCCCCCAAATCCCGTTAAAAATGGCCCCAAAATCCCCTTAAAAATCCCATTAAAATCCCATTTAAAATACCCCAAATCCCATTAAAAATGGCCCCAAAATCCCATGAAAATCCCCTTAAAAATCCCCTTAAAATCCCATTAAAAATGGCCCCAAAATCCCATTAAAATCCCCCTAAAAATGGCCCCAAAATCCCCTTAAAATCCTCTTTAAAATCCCATTAAAATCCCGTTAAAAATGGCCCCAAATCCCATGAAAATCCCCTTAAAAATGGCCCCAAATCCCATGAAAATCCCCATTAATAATGGTCCCAAAATCCCCTTAAAATCCCCATTAAAAATGGCCCAAAATCCCATGAAAATCCCCTTAAAAATCCCATTAAAATCCCGTTAAAAATGACCCAAAATCCCATGAAAATCCCATTTAAAATACCCCAAATCCCATTAAAAATGGCCCAAAAATCCCATTAAAAATGGCCCAAAAATCCCATTAAAATCCCCTTAAAATCCCCATTAAAAATGGTCCAAAATCCCATGAAAATCCCCAGTAAAATGGTCCCAAAATCCCATGAAAATCCCCTTAAAATCCCATTAAAATCCCCATTAAAAATGGCCCAAAATCCCAATAAAATCCCCATTAAAAATGGCCCCAAAATCCCATTAAAATCCCATTAAAAATGGCCCCAAAATCCCGTTAAAATCCCCTTAAAAATCCCATTAAAATCGCACTAAAAATGGCCCCAAATCCCATGAAAATCCCCTTAAAAATGGCCCCAAATCCCATGAAAATCCCCACTAAAATGGTCCCAAAATCCCATGAAAATCCCATGAAAATCCCATTAAAAATGGTCCCAAAATCCCCTTAAAATCCCCTAAAAAATGGCCCCAAAATCCCCTTAAAATCCCCATTAAAAATGGCCCCAAAATCCCATGAAAATCCCCTTAAAAATCCCATTAAAATCCTGTTAAAAATGGCCCCAAAATCCCATGAAAATCCCATTTAAAATACCCCAAATCCCATTAAAAATGGCCCAAAAATCCCATTAAAAATGGCCCAAAAATCCCATTAAAATCCCCTTAAAATCCCCATTAAAAAGGTCCCAAAATCCCATGAAAATCCCCTTAAAAATCCCCTTAAAATCCCGTTAAAAATGGTCCAAAATCCCATGAAAATCCCCAGTAAAATGGTCCCAAAATCCCATGAAAATCCCATGAAAATCCCATTAAAATCCCATTAAAAATGGCCCCAAAATCCCCTTAAAATCCCCCTAAAAATGGCCCCAAAATCCCCTTAAAATCCCCATTAAAAGTGGCCCAAAATCCCATGAAAATACCCACTAAAATGGTCCCAAAATCCCATGAAAATCCCCTTGAAAATCCCCTTAAAAATCCCATGAAAATCCCATTAAAAATGGTCCAAAGTCCCATGAAAATCCTCATTAAAAATGGCCCAAAATCCCCTTAAAATCCCCATTAAAAATGGCCCCAAAATCCCATTAAAATCCCGTTAAAAATGGCCCCAAAATCCCCTTTAAAATCCCATTAAAAATGGCCCAAAATCCCCTTAAAATCCCCATTAAAAATGGTCCCAAATCCCATGAAAATCCCCATTAAAAATGGCCCCAAAATCTCCATTAAAATCCCATTTAAAATACTCCAAAATCCCGTTAAAATCCCATTAAAAATGGCCCCAAAGTCCCCTTAAAATCCCCATTAAAAATGGCCCCAAAATCCCATGAAAATCCCATTAAAAATGGCCCCAAATCCCATGAAAATCCCATTAAAAATGGCCCAAAATCCCATGAAAATCCCCTTAAAATGGCCCAAAATCCCCATTAAAATCCCATTTAAAATACTCCCAAATCCTGTTAAAATCCCATTAAAAATGGTCCCAAAGTCCCCTTAAAATCCCATTAAAAATGGCCCCAAAATCCCATGAAAATCCCATTAAAATCCCATTAAAATCCCATTTAAAATACCCCAAATCCCGGGAAAATCCCATTAAAAATGGCCCCAAAATCCCCCTTAAAAATGACCCAAAGTCCCCTTAAAATCCCCATTAAAAATGGCCCCAAAATCCCCTTAAAATCCCATTAAAAATGGCCCAAAATCCCATGAAAATCCCCATTAAAAATGGCCCAAAATCCCCCCAAATTTTACCCAAATTTTACCCAAATTTCACCCAAATTTTTCCCCAAATCACCCCCAAATTTCACCCAAATTTTACCCAAATCACCCCCAAATTTCACCCAAATTTTACCCAAATTTTACCCAAATCCCCTCAAAATCCCCGCAAATTTTGCCCAAATTCCCCCCAAATTTTACCCAAATTTCACCCAAATTTTACCCAAATTGTACCCAAATTTCACCCAAATCTCACCCCAATTTTACTCAAATCCCCCCAAATTTTACCCAAATTTCGCCCAAATTTTACCCAAATTTTACCCAAATTCCCCCCAAATCCCCCCAAAATCCCCCCAATTTTCCCCAAATTTTACCCAAATTTTACCCAAATTTCACCTACATTTTCCCCAAATTTCACCCAAATTTTACCCAAATTTCACCCAAATTTCACCCAAATCCCCCCAAATTTCACCCAAATTTTACCCAAATTGTACCCAAATTTCACCCAAATTTTACCCAAATCCCCCCCAAATTTTACCCAAATTTTACCCCAATTTTACCCAAATCCCCCCCAAATCCCCCCAATTTTCCCCAAATTTTACCCAAATTTCACCCAAATTTTACCCAACCCCTCCAAATTTTACCCAATTTTTCCCCGAATTTCACCCAAATTTTCCCCAAATCCCCCCAAATTGTTGGGCTGCCCCTCCCCCACCTTTGAAGAAGACGAACTTCCCATCCCCCCTCTCGTAGGCGGCGTCGATGCCCGGCGGGAGCCCCGCCCAGAAGTGGCCGATGGGGAGGGGGTACCCGGGCATCACCCGGCCCCCCCGCACCCGCCAGAACCAGCGCTCCTGCAAGAGAAAAAAATTTGGGGGAAAATTCGGGAATTTCGGGAAAAA